TGGCATTAATTTGCAAGATTTTTGGTTGTTTACGGTCATTTTTAGTCGTTGTTTTCGGCAACCTTAATCGTCTTAATTGATGCTGGCGTGATTTTGTTATAAGTCAAATAAATTGGAAAGGACTGACTGGCTGTCGTCGATATAAAAAGTAGCCTTCATCGCTTTATGTTGTCGTGACTGTTGCAGAAGCAGTCTGCAATTTACAAAGTCCGGGTGTGAGACATTTATAATGAAGTTAAATGACGACTTTCCTGGACGATTATCTTCGGCCCATGTCATTGAGCCAGAAAGTTTTCCAACCTGACAGGTCTCACTTTTGTGCACGTCTCTGAGCCGACTTAAATCCGAGTTTGGCTCGTCCAGAATTAAACCGAATGTTTTACCTTTGTTTTAGTGTTGACTAATTTACGAGTATGTTAAAGCGGTAAGCCCTGAGTAGCCTTGCGTGTATGTGCGTGTGCGTGTGTGTGCTTGTAGGTGAGTGCCTACTTGGACACATGACTGGGTACAGATTAACGGTCTCTTGCTGATTCATATAGACCGAGTAAGATGATCAAAGGAGGGAATAAGCTTAAGTCTAGCTCAGGTTAAAAGTGTAACGAGATTCTTGATTAATTGGAACCTCAGTACAATTAAAAATATCGTAAATTACGATGAATTTCAAAACAAAAGGTATGGAAAATAAATACCTTCTTCGAGTGCAATAGAATGCACTTTTAAAAACGCAAGTTGGGATCAAATGGTACCGACGATAATGTGTCGCCACGACATCCACGAATCGCTATCGAATCTCGTCAGAGGTATTGCTGAAACTAAGGCGATCTCGGAACAAATGTCCAGTCCCTCCAGGATAAAATATCCTTTTGAATGTGAGAGGCTGAGTAAAATACAATAACATCGTGAGGATCACTCATCGGATTGTGGAAAATCTCAACTCTAAATTCCTTAAATCACCCCAAGCTGACTAAGTTCCTATTCGATCGTTTCACCTGCGGCATGCCTTTCTTATTCTCCCGATCAGATACGCACGATCCTCTGGTCGGAGTATTCTCAAACGCGGTCTGGTCCGAATCATGTTTAAGCTTGTTCTTCGAGGCGTCGATCTACAGGCTCGCGATTTTGCCGGTCGAACTGCCCTTCTGCTGGCGGCTGAGGCGAAGACACCAACTCCTGTCGGCCGAAATGACTTCGCTGATGAGTCGGCCGAGATTGGGTTCTGCCTCCAGCTCTCGGACTCCAGCCAACCCGACGGATTCATCAGACAGGCCACTCGGCCACCCTCGAAGCAGGTGAGACCTGCCGGAATCGGTTTCAGTTGACAACCATTTAAGCAGTCTCATATCGCTTGAGTCAGAACACTTTACTTTGTAAATGAAAATATTAGTCACCCTAGGTCGCGTTTGATAATGAAGAATTGTTGATTTAATTTTGACAAAATCATAGAAGTGGCCCTAAAGATGGTATAAAAGTTCATCTAACCTAGCCTTGCAAAACTTATTCTCATCCAGATTCGTGTCGACTGCAGTTAGGACTTTGCCTGAGCCTTATCAGCACTTCAAACAAGAATAGAATCCGCTTGGTGCAGCGTATAATTTCGATAGTTCACCACATTACTTATATTCATAGTAAGTAGCTTTCGAGGATATCAATATATCTTGATTAGGAGCTTTTTACTAAAAGTTGTGGTCACCCTAGATCGAATGAGATGATAAATGACTGATAGTTTAATTTTCCAACAATAGTAGGAGTAGGTTAACGATGCTATCCAGTTTCGACCTCGTCTGGAACTTAGCAACATCCCCAAAGTGAACTTAAACTGGCTTTTGCAGTTTATTATTTTGGAATATTATCCCACTACTTGTATTCATAGGAATTAGGCTTTGTGCATATCAGTAGATTTTGTTTAGGCTTCTTATAATAGCACTATGCTATTTACAGTTACTCCTGTGTAAGGGTTCCGTTTATATAATTGAGGGTATATTCAACTGTAGGCTCTTCAGCACCGTGTGCGATCTAGGCTGACAAGAACTCCTGGGTAAGATCAAATAATAGTTAAGAAACTTTTGCTTTATATCGCTAAGTTTTTATTCGAAAATTACTGATTTCCTCAAAAATTACTTTGATTTAAAATAGCCTTAGAGGCAGGCAATAGATTCTCACTAAGAACTTCAGTCAGCCTAGGTCGCTTAAGATGATGTATGGACTGATAAATGAATGCTTTTACAATACCTTGAACAGGCCACGGAATTGACATTTCACACCAATTGAGGCCAAATGAAATATAATGGCACTCGATTGTGGAAAATTCAGCTGTAAAACCTAAAACCAACTTGAGCGGTCTAGGCCGACTCAATGTGTTAATAAAGATCCACTGATAGTTTCGAGACATGTTCACTACGAATAAAAAAGAGTGTTAAGGCTCATGATAGACTCGTGACGAGAGAAGAGGGAAGCTCGGCACGTATCTTTTATCCTAAGAGAATTCAGCGACTATGATCGAGGCGCTGCTATGGGCAAATCAAGTCAGATAAATGGTGTAGTCTATTTCGATACCAAGAAATCGCGATTCTTCCTCGTCTTGAAGGTCTAAACGATTTTGTCAACTCCTAGCTCCATGTTGGCACGATGACGAAGCGCAAATTCATTGAGCAGAGATAAAGTCAACTTTACGAGGCTTTTTGGATCATTATACGCCTCGGATAGAAGAAATAATCGATAATCGCATAATTTTACGACAATTCTGCAAGTCCAACTGACTTCTGAGCGTTTTAGGGGTGATCGATACCGTGCGCTTAAGAGGAAATGGCCGAATGCAGCAAAACTCAAGACAAATGCATTATAAGAACGTTGTGGAAGAATCGTTTTGATGCAAAAAGCTTCTAGAAAATTAGGCTTTCAGTGTGGACGATTTAAACGGCTCATTACTCTGCTGAAAAATTGCATTCTAATACCTACTTTAAAAGGTTTGGGCTTCACAGTCTTCAAAACGAAATGGAAATGGCCCAATTCACCTTCGGTTACTCTTTCAGGCTCGGCAGATTTATGGGAAAAAATGAAGGAATCCGGTTCCGAAATGGCGGCCCTCTCTATCGATTCTACATTTTCAAAATGATAATAATCTTTATCGTCAACAATATCATTATCACACACTACTACTATTACTACTACTTAATAATAATAATAATTATTATTATTATTATCGCATAATTTTACGACATTTCTGT